GTTATGATTTATACATAGTGAGATGTACACTCTTACTTCTATAGTTCAGTTTTGACATATGCATATATTCCTGTAACCCACATCCCTTTTCATTTTATTTTAAAAGTCTTGGAATCCTCCTAAGTGATGAACATTTGGGTCCAAAGGCAGATTTCTGGAAAGGAATCCCCTATTCAGTCCACCGGCTGCCCCTTCTCTGTGAAAAACAACAACAAAAAATTCTCATCCAATCCTTTCCTGAGTTCCCCAATCACCACAGAGGACTTAAAGCCATAAGAACATTTTGTAATCCCAGCTTTCTGAAACCTAACAGCGATTTTGTCATCTGAAAACAAGGGAGAGATTAAGTGCGGAATTTGATTCTGACAACAGCAGAAAGGAACGAGCTAGACAAGAAACGTCACAGAGAATTAATTCAGACACCAAACGCTCCACAACCTTTTCTGGACTCTGAATATGACACACAGTCCTGGTCAGGGAAGCACAGTTTTTTTGAGAGGAGTTTGCTACAGGGACGTGACATTATCAGGGCGGGACGTATTAAAGCAGAGACCCATGTACATTTTTCAGAATTTTGCCTTTACCCTGCCTTACTCCTTCTGAATGGCCTCTTTTAGAAATAAGACATGCAGACAGCTAAACACACGGTGCCCTCTACACGGCTGCCGCAGTCTCAGACCCATCTTCTCAAATTAACCGCCCTCGTATGCTGGGATGTCTTTCCAGTGTTCCAAACACAGCTTTTTTTTGCATCGCTTTGACCAAGGTTTATGCAGTCAAATAATATTACAACATATAATTATTTAATCATTACCATTTGTGTAACACTTAAGGGCAAGTGAGACTTTTTTTTTTAAAGGTTTATTTATTTATTTGACAGGTAGAGATGACAAGTAGGCAGAGAAGCAGGCAGAGAGAGAGAGGAGGAAGCAGGCTCCCTGCGGAGCAGAGAGTCCGATGCGGGGGGCTCGATCCCAGGACCCTGGGATCATGACCTGAGCCAAAGGCAGAGGCTTAACCCACTGAGCCACCCAGGCGCCCCCAAGTGAGACGTTTTATGTGAAAAGGTTCTTGAAGCACTAAAGGTGTATATAACCCATATGGGTTATTTAAAAATTATTTCTCTGAGACAGGATACTTTGCAGTAATTGTATTCCCATTGTATCTCACAATCAGAAAGGCAGGCTGTTCTCATTTTCCACATCCAGAACTTTCCCTGTCTTTTTTTTTTTTAATATTTTATTTATTTATTTAACAGAGAGAGACAGAGAGATCACAAGTAGGCAGAGAGGCAGGCAGAGAGAGGGGGAAGCAGGCTCCCAGCTGAGCAGAGAGCCCGACGCGGGGCTCGATCCCAGGACCCCGAGATCATGACCTGAGCTAAAGGCAGAGGTCCAACCCACTAAGCCACCCAGGTGCCCCCAGAACTTTCCCTGTCTGTACTAAAGACAGGGAAATATTTTCTAAAATATTTCCTGAATCTGACCCTGCCTCTACATTTAGTCCTTATTACCTCCCCAGCCAGACTTAAAATCCATAAAGAAAGGCACAATGGCCATTTATCTACGGCTCTCTTCCTGATGCTCACAGGGCACATGGGAGGGGGGCACTCACTCATTTTTGTGAAGACAATGGACCTAATTCGCTCAGGTCCTTCTAGCCCACTCCGTGGTGCATCAGAACACAGTTCTGCCTGTGTCCTGTATATACTTGCAAAACCTTCAAAGACTCTCTGTTGTTAATAGAATAAAGGACACACGCCTGAATGTCACATTCAAATTCCTTCGCAGTTCAGTTCCAAGCACCTTTCCAGGCTAGTCTTCCAGCCCTTGCCCACTGCCCTCAACACACACCCCCACCCTCAGTCCCCAAATGATTCCCAAACACACCGTGCAGGCTCACGCTCCCAGACCTTCACTGAAGTTGTTCCCTCTGCCTGGAATGACCTTCCTTTTACCTTCCTTATTCACCTGGTGGAATTTCATTTCTCCAGACACAGCTCAAATGTCACCCTCTCCAACGCCTTCCCCAGCTCCCCTAAAGGTTCTGTTTTGGTGCTCTCATACCCAGCTTGGCATTCCCTTATTGCCTGTCTCCCATTACATTACAGTGGCTTTCATCCTTTTTTGATTTTTTCTGTGAATTCCTTGAGAGCAGGGGATGAATCTCACTGTCATTCTTTAAATATCTCCCGAATCTGACCACTTCCTACCACCTCCCCCACCAGTTGTTCTAGTTAAGCCGCCATCCTGTCCCACCTGTTCCATGTGACAGCACCTGACCGGATCCACGTTGCCACACTGCTGTCCAACAGAGGACCTGCTGCAAAGCAGCCAATGATCTCTTAACAGTGTAAACAACCATATGCCCCTCCTCTACCACAAGCCCACTAGCAGCTTTCCTTCACACTTAGAAAAAACCCGAAGCCGTCGGCTGTCTGGCCCTGCTTCCCCTCTGATTTCATCTGTACCACTCTCCCCCTTGCTCACTCCAGCCCCATTTGTCTCTGTGCTTCTCCTTGAATATGCCAAGCTGTTTTCTTCTTGGGGCTTAGGAACCATCTCCCCTCTGCCAGGAAAGCTCTTCCCCTGGATGCATGCATGGCTTGTTCATTACTCCGCAGTGGTCCCTGCTCAGATGTCCCGTCCCCAGAGAGGTCCTCCCTAATCACCCTGCATTACGCCCTCCTATCTTACCTGCTTTATTTCTCTTTACAGCACTAAACGCCACCAGTTTGTCACCATTGATTTCCCACGCATTTATGTAGTTGTTCATTTGTCACTGAGGAGAGAGACTCTCTGACCATGTCTGTGGTACCTAGAACAGTGCCTGGCAAATGACAGGCACTCAAGTGTTCGTTGAATGAATGGATGAATCTTCCTGTCCCAGGTGTCTAACGTGGTGCCTGGTTCTAGAAATCCTTAAGTGAATGAACAAATTAGCCCATTTTACAAATGAAGTGAAATCTTGGCATATATCCAGGATGATCCAGGATCTGAGTGCAAGTGTTTCATCCATTCGTTCTACGAGCATTAGCTTGATTGCTTTTATTTAATATCATAGGTGATGCAACCGGGTTCGTCACATTTTCAGAAATTGCTTGGTGACAGAGGTCAAGAATACTTGGGGGGGGGGCGCCTGAGTGGCTCAGTCATTAAGCATCTGCCTTCCGCTTAGGTCGAGGTCCCAGGGTCCTGGGATCGAGCCCCACATCAGGCTCTGGGCTCAGCGGGGAACCTGCTTCTCCCTCTCCCACTCCCCCTGCCTAAGTTCCCTCCCTCATCGTGTCTCTCTCTGTCAAATAAATAATTAATAAAATCTTTAAAAAAAAAAAGACTACTTAGGGAATTTCAGAAAGACAACCAAGAGTGGCACAGCATGGACTTGGAATACCCTTCTGCCCACTGCCTCCCGTGTCAGCTCCTGAGGGAGTCTGATAAGGTATTTTCTCTCCTGTGATTTATACAGAATATACACTTGCTGACTGAACACAGATTATTATTCTGAGGGCTGGAACAGGTAAGACATTGACCCCAAACTCTGAGAGGGCGGGCCCTCTACAGCCTTTACTGGAGTGGATGTTGCAGTGGGGCTTCTCAGCTGCTGCATCCCAGCCTGCCTTAGTGTGTGCCTCAGGAACCCGAGTGGCTTTGATTCGGCAGTTCGGTCCCTTCTGGGTGAGCTGGGAAAGATTTGCCACACTTCTCTTGTTCACTTTGGCCTCTGGCAGTTGCTTTTCTGGCCCATTTTGTTTGTTGTTCTTAATTCCTTGCATATGGAGATGTAAAAGAAACAGGCAGTGAGCACCCTTGGCATGGTCGAAGTGTAGCATATTGGCAATCTGTCCATCTGTCCTTTTGAGGCCAAGCGGTGACCAGATTTGCCCGATTCTCATGCATGGATGGCATCAGGACCAGAGACCAGAACAGGGAGAGCCTGGGAGGTTCACACCCCATCCCCCCACCCCCGTCAAATCTCAAGTATCCCATTACTAGACAAGAGTGGCAGATGGGGCCTCATGAGGTGCAGAGGGAAGGGAACTAACCAGCTCCCTGTGTACTCTGTTTCAAGTCCTCGGCCAGGGCCCTTTACGTGCATGATGTCATTGGATGTTACCAAGGAGTTGGTTAGGGTTGTTACCTGCATCTAAGAGAAGAGAAAAACAAGGTTCAGAGAGGTTGGTGACACTTACCCAAGATGGTAAGTGGCAGAGCTAGGATCTGAGTTTCAGACCAGGCCTGTGTGGCTCCTGGGCTACTCACTGAGAGCAGGGATTTTTCTAACATCTAGAAGGAGGAGGAGGTGGGGTGCGCAGGGGTGGGGGGACAACAGCTGGAGGGGCAGCAAATGGGTCCTACCTGAAAATCGGTGATCACCAGGCCCTGCAAAGTCCAGGTTATACAGATGCCACCTGGCTTCTCTTCTGTTTTGAAAACAGAATTCTCTGGCTGTTGTACCAGGGTCATCCTGGTCGCACTTCACCGTGCTGGAGTGGGTGAAGTACCCCCTAGACACTCCTTCCAGCAGTGTCCTTCCACGCCATCCTGGCTCCGGTGTCTGCACGTAGTGCCGTCGTAGAGTGCCTTCCTCCTCCTTAGGTCGCCAGTTTACCGCACCTCCTCCTTGCCAACTTGTACCCCCTGGGGAGTGCACCCCGCCCGCATTTCTGGAGATTCCGGCTGCTCCGGGTCACTGTGGGAGTCTCCCCGGCGTGTTAAGGGGCACTGCCGGCCACCAAGGTCCGGGCATCTTTGGGGCCTTTTGCCAAGCCCCTTCCCTAGCGCTCCCCGCGCGGCGCCGCAGTGCCCCCTCCGCCGCCAGGGGCCGCCCGGAAGCGGGGCTCCTCGAGCACGGGGCGGGGAAAGGGGCGGGGCGCAGCGGTACCTGGGACGCCGAGGAGCCGGGGGTGGGCTCTCTGGGGACAGCCGGCGGCCCCCCCAGATCCGCACCGCCAGCCGCCGGGAAGCTCGGGGCTCCGGGCGTAGAGGCTGCGCTGTCACATGGGCGGCGGCGACGGGGCCGCATTTAAGCGGCCGGGGGACGGCGCCCGCCTCCAGCGCGTCCTCGGGCTTGGCTCCCGCCGGGCGCCCCGCTCTCTGCCCGCCGGGGGCCCCGCGCCGCGCCGCACCGCGCCGCCCCCGCCGGGCCATGCGAGCGCGGGCCCCGCCGCGATGAGCTCGCACATCGCCAAAAGCGAGTCCAAGACGTCGCTGCTGAAGGCGGCGAGCGGGGGCAGCCGGGTTCCCCGCCACGGCCCTGCCCGGGAGCCAGGGCTGCCTGGCCGCCGGCTGCCCGGTACCGGCCCGGGCACGCCGCCGCCGTCCGGGGACCCCAGTTCGCGGAGGCCCCTGTGCCGGCCCGCACCGCGAGAGGAGGGCGCGCGGGGGAGCAGGCGCGGGCTCCCCCAGGCGCACTGCAGGCCCCGGGAGGCGCTGCCGGCCGCGGCGTCCCGACCTTCGCCGCCGTCGCCGCTGCCGCCGGCCCGCGGGCGGGATGGGGAGGAACGGGGGCTGTCCCCGGCGCTTGGCCTCCGGGGCTCGCTGCGAGCCCCGGGTCGCGGGGACTCCGCTCCAGCCGCCGCGTCCGAGGCAGACCCGTTCCTCCACCAGCTGCGCCCCATGCTCAGCTCCGCCTTCGGCCAGGTAAGGGCCGCGCCTCCCGCCCTCGCTCCCGGGAAAGGCGCTCGGGACCCTGGCACGGCTGCGCGCCCACAGCCCTCCTTCCGCTGCCCGCGGCCCCCGGTCACGCTCCCTGTAGTCGTTCCGCAGCCCTGCGCCCTGGCCGGCACTCCTCCTCCCCCGTGCCTGATTCAGCACCCTGTGCGCTGTCCACGCTCCGGGCCTCTTCTGGGCGAGGCACCAGCGTCTCGCCGCTCTCCACCCGTCAGAACGGGCCAGTCTTGGAAGGGAACGACCGCCGCAAACCGTCCGGAGACTTGCAGGGGTCAGCAGGGGCGCTCGGAGCAGGTGGCGCCAAATCCACTTCTTTGGTCTCTTGTCAAGACTGCCAGTGAGCGACCCAAAGGAGCAAGGGGTTTGGAGTCTGGGGCATAAGAATGACTACCTCAGGGCACGCAGACTTGCTTGGGGATGGGGGACGCTAGTCATGGGCTGTGGTGGCCCCAGAGATCTGGGAAAAGTTAGGAGAGCTAGATGGAGACTCAAAAATATGAGAAAAGAGAGACGTCTGGGTAGGCAAGGAAGGGCTACACAGAGCCGTGGCTCAAATCGGTACTTCGGGGGTGTTTTAAGGAGGTTTTCACTCCAGAGATGTCACTAGGATGGCGGTTGGGCAGGTGTCAGGTCGCAGGACGTGGAATAATAACAGCCTCGCCTGAGTCGATATGCATTCTAGGGTCAGAAAAGTCACTAAGGGGTCACCAGTGGCTACTCTCTTTCCTCTAGGCCTTTCTCTCAAGAGTCCTGGAAAGCTGAGCTTTTGTCCTCTCATCCAGGTCTAATCCACTTTGGGGTGTGCTGTTGGGGAGGGAGGTTTGCAGAAAGGAAGCTGTGAACTCCTGAGCAAAGCCAGGGTTGCCTCTAGTTCTGAGCCCATAATTAATTCAGACTCATTGGCACAGGTTGAGGCCGTTCTGCGGCAGCCGAGGAGGGAGTAATGCAGAGGTCTGATGGCAGAGTTTGCGTGGTGTGTGGAGGAAGAGGGGACCCTGAGCATTTCTGTGCTAGGATGTAGTGTAGGGAAGCCGTTTGAGGCTCCTGGCTTGCCATGCAGGGTCAGGATTCCAAGGAGGCCATGTGTGTTCTGCTTCAGATCTGCACATCCCTTTTCAAAATACTACTCCGTGGCGGCAGAGGCCGGTGGAGTTCTGACATGAAGGAGCTGCACGTGGATTCGGGTTGCGCGGGGCTGCTGTGCGGTGTGACAGGGCAGCGGTGTGCGGCTTTGTTCCTGTGGGGAGCCCTCGTTAGCAGAGTTAGCTGGAAGCCATTCTCCAGAGTAGAGATGTGGAGGTAGAGCTTTGGGCGTTAGCGCAGTGACGTGTCGTGCTGGAAGTTCACGGAGGTGGCTTATGTACGAGGTAGGAGGCATCAGGTGTCTGGGCGGGGGTCTGTGGAGCGGGTCTGGGTTGTGGAATTGGTGACATCTGGTCAAACGTGTATCAGATATTTGGGGGCACCTACTTTGCCCAGGCATTTGCGGGACATGAGGGAGACACCAGTGAAAAAGACAGATGGGCTTCTGGCTATTGGGAGCTTATAGTCTAGCAGTTTGTAAGGGGGGAGTCACTCACACAGAATCACTCACTTTCTGGTTATTCATTTTGTTGCTAACATGACTTCGTTCCTAGAAAAAGAGGCTCTTCTTTTTCCAGTCTTAACAGAATTTGCCTGCCTGGGCCCTTTGTGAGCTCAGAGCATTTCAGCTACCTGGTTTTCTTCCTCCTTTTGCTTTCTTAGTCATTAATGAAGACTGTCCTTCAGTCCAGTGTTCTGAAATGTCACTAGGGTCACCTGAGTCAGGAAGAGCTGGAAGGTCCCATCAAATATTTACCACCTCCCTCTGGAAGCTCTGGTCTCTGGAGCTGCAGACTTTTTCTGTAAAGCTCAGCACGTTGGGTTTGGGCTTCCTGCTGACAGCTCTAAGGCATCTGGTTGAACAGCAATAACAACCCAGCCTGAGACTTTTGGGTCAGAGTCTCTGGTCTCCTGAGACAGAGGGGAATTTGTCTTTCCTTCCCTTCTCTGCACTGAGATTTCTGTTCTTAGAGACTGGGCCAGGACCAAGAAAAGGGAAATGGGATTAGGAATACGGAAACCATCAGATAGAAATCTGTGTAAGGCAAAACAGTCCTGGGGAGGTCTATTTCTCATGTCTCCCAAGGTCTTTTTTTTTTTTTTTTTAATCTTAAGTGAATTGCTTAACCTCATTAAGCTTCTGTTTCTTTGTTTGCAAAATAGGGAAAATCATAGTACCTCACTGGGTTTTGGGGGAATTAAATGGGACATGGAGGTATATACAGATTTTGGCCAGTGCATGGTCCAAAGCAAGGGCTCCATCGATATCAGTTATTATTGTTGTTGTTGTTGTCATTGTTATTGTTGATTAACTACCAAGTGCTGTCCAGGACCTTCTTTCCATTTGTAATGTGGTCAAGGAGAGCTAGTGCTCAAAGTGACACTGAAGGGACCAAGATAGACTCCCATAGTAGGGGGAACAGGAATTAAGATCCTTTCAGTGACCTCCCAGAGCACACTTACTGCCTGCAGGCAGATGGTGTGGTTTTGAGTTGAAGTCATAACATGGTAGCTTGGGAGAAAGTAGAGTTGTAGGTTCCAATCCCAGTGCTGTCATTTCCCATTGTTGTGACCTTGGGCCTCTTCCCTCTCTCTCTCTTTTTCTGGTCTGGGTTTGTTCATCCAGAAATGAGATTGACAAAAACTACCTTGCAGAGCTATTGACGAGGGCCACACAAGATTAACTATGTCAAATGGTCTGGGTCCAGTAGGTTCTGGAAAAAAGGGCAGCCTTCATTAATATTATTAATAGAGTGACTGAATATGGACCTGTGCAAGTTACTTTGAGAGCTGTCTCTGAGCCAGGTGAGAAAGGCCATTAAAGGAAGGAGCTGAATGACAAGGGACCTTCTCTAGTACCCTCTGCATGGCCAGCTCAGGACATGTCACCTAGCAGCCTAGAGAGATGTGGCATCAGACATTAACTCAGAATAGGCATGATTTGGGGCAACTCTTGGCATTGGGACTTGTAAAACTATTTTAAGAGCAGTTTTTCTGCTCCTTACTCCAAGCTAGAGAAGAAACAGCCCCTGTAGAAGAGGCATATGTGTATAAAACCCACATCTCTGTCCCATCCTTCACCTTTTTCTAGCTCTAGAGACATCTCTCCCGATTTGAATAGACTAGCCCAATTCCCAAGCTGCTTTGCACATAACACGATCACAGTATCTAATAGGTGAATGAATGACGAGTATCTCTAACCTCTGGTCTGTGGAGGTGTCTTAATTCCTATACCTTAGATGAGGGAGAAAGACATGAGTTTGGTCCTAATAGATTCTATCATACTAAGCCTGTGTTCCTAGGATGAGGGCTGTGTATATTATTCACTCTCTCCTTGCCAAGTCTCTCCCTACTTGGGTGAGAAGCCCCTATTGCCTTTCCCCTGGGGCCTGGGGAAGGGTAAAGAGGTCAGTTTGGGGTTGATATCAATCCTGCAGAGTCCTCCAGGAGAGCTGCGTTCACCTCTGGCTGTGTGGGGGAAGCAAAAAGGGTGCTTGAGACCTCAGACGAGACCTCATTGAACAATTGCCCTAGTATCTTCTCAGCCACCCGTGAAGGTTGGCATTCTCACCCTCCATGTTAGAGATGAGGAGACAGTGTCAAGAGGGGGGAAGTGGATTGTCTAAAGGCCACACAGTAAGTAAATGACAGGACTGTGATCTCTAAAGAGCCGGTTAGGTAGGAAGTCACCTGAGAGTGGTTCCTATTTGTCAGAAGCATCCACAAAGCACCTCTCAGGTTACGACCCAGCTTTCCCTGAGTGTGTTCACCCTGGGCGTCATCTAAGTTTGAAGACTGGCGATAGAACTGATCAGGGCTGGAGGCCAGCCTCCCTCCTAATCAGGAATAATCAGCACCGGGTTTATCCTTCTCATCCCTCTGATCCTATTATTCCATTCCAGAACTCGGTGTATAGGCTTCTGGAGGCCCAGGGGCTGCTTCCACATTGATGAATGACAGGAAGGTGGGGCTATGTGATGTGCTTTGCTCCTTAGAGAAGCCCCTACCATTCAGCCCTTTTAAAAAAATGCCTGCTAAAGGTTAAGCCACCTGTTTCTTCCAGATCGCAGTTATCCCTGTCACTCAGGACCACCTCGGCCTGACCTGCCCAGTTTAAGGGAAGCTCTGAGTTTGAATCCCTGAGTCCCTTGCTGCCTTCAGCCTAAGCTAGGGTCAGCATCCTTCCCTGTAAAGAAGGGTGGGATTTATTCAAAGTGCATGACTTTTCCATGGGGTTCTGGTTTTGCTGTTTCCTGTCTCCTGCTTCCAAGGACAGGCATATTCCAAGGTCGGCAAGCGGGTGCTGTGATCGGGGCTGGCCTGCAGGGGGCAGGAGTCACCAGGTCTGACGGAGTGGGTGTTCAGCTGAGCATGGAGAGGTGGGAGCAGCTGGCCCTTTAAGACCATTGCTGGGCCGAAAGGGGCACCTTCTAGGTGGCTGGCACTGTGCCCAAGCCCTTTGTGTGTATTATCTCATTAACTCCTCACAACAGCCCTAGGAGGGAAGGGTTATTAGTGTACCCACTTAATAAAGAAACTGAGGCACAGAGAGATTCACAAGTCCTCAAGGTCATAGAGCTTGCTAGACAGCAGGGCAAGATTTGAACCCAGGTATGTCTACCCCTGCATTGCAGGCTCTTAGCATCCGTGTCTGTGGTCCTCAACACTGGCTGCAGATTAGAATAACCCAGAGCACTAACCACCACCCATGTCCAGAGTTCACCTGCAGCTATTAAATCAGAGTCACCTGCCACTGGCACTGAGACTCTCCGCTTGACACTGTGCTGCCTTTCCATATGTCTGCCCAGGTAGTTAATATGAATTGGGTTTGTATCTGGAACCTAATCCGACTTCCCTCTGGGGTCCCTGGTGAGTCCCAGCTTGTC